TCCTCTCCTTCCTTCCTGTCCGTCCTTCCTGTCCTTCCTTCCTTCTTTCTTCTCCTTCCTCCTTCCTTCCTGTCCTTCCTCTCCTTCCTTCCTTCTTTCCTCTCCTTCCTTCCTGTCCTTCCTTCCTTCTTCTCCTTCCTTCCTGTCCTTCCTTCATTCTTTCCTCTCCTTCCTTCATGTCCTTCCTTCTGACCCTCTTTCCCTTCCCTTCCTTCCTTCTTTCCTGTCCTTCCTTCCTGTCCTTCCTTCCTCTCCTTCCTTCTGACCCTCTTTTCCTTCCCTCCTTCTTTTCTCTCCTTCCTTCCTTCTTTTCTTTCTTCCTCTCCTTCCTTCCTTCCTCTCCTTCCCTTCCCTTCCCGTTGTTGAGACATTTGTTAAGCCAATGAGAGATGTTGCAACCGTCATAAATACATGCCAGTTGCCAAACATCCTAATTTAGTTCATGGGACGAGAGACGCTGCAAGGGTTATAAGTGGGAGTACCGGTCCCAAGTCACTTTTCCCAGTAACTTCAAACCGTCACTAAACAAATGGACGTAAGCCGAGGACTACCTGTACACTAACACAGCTTTCTTCTGCCAATTGAAAACAGGGAATTTATCTTTCTGAGTTAGAGGCATGGTGGAGTTTATGTTTTTCTTTTTTATTTCTGGTTGTGATTTTTGATCTTGTAAATTGCCTGGGCATTGGTTTAATAAATACATACATACATAATAAATAAATAAACCTTTTGTCAGTTTTAACACAGTCCCTGCCAGCTATAAATAAATTGCCTTAATTAACAACTCACCAAATCTGGATGTCAACTTTGCTTTCAATCAACTTAAGCAGCCACAGCTAAGGATTCAGAGTGACGATTCAGCAAATATTTGTGGCTCTCGTTGGCGAGGTCTGTTCAGAATGACATCAGTCAAGGAGAGCAGAATTTAGCCCTTGAGCCAGATCGATTAAATAGGCGTGCTCCAAGAATTTTTCAGCCCGAATTGAACCAGCCGGGTTAGTCCCAGGATCAACCAAATTTGAAAGGCAAGGAGACGTCACGGTTTTCTAGCCGATATTCTGCTGTTCTCTTTTCCCATTTATTTTCCTTTATGTCTTGAACCGGTGGAACGGGAGCTGCCTTCAGAAATTGT